CCCCTCCTCCCTCTGCCCACCACGACAGAGTTACCAGCTGGAGGCAGCTGCGTCCAGCGTGGTCAAGGACTACTACCTGTTTAGTCCATGGCCAAATCTTTGGATCCAGATCAGGACAGTGATTTGAATCATTGAATCGCTGTCCCTCTAAATCTGCTGAATCCAAATTAAATACTTGCTGCTTTACATAGGCCTAATTCTTAGATGATGTCCCACTAGGGGTGGGCAATTATTTGGATGTTGGAGACCCATGGTACACCACAGGTGCCTGCTGTAAGGTCATAGTATCTGGGGCAGCTCCTTTTAGCTCTGAGCTACAGACAGGTGGGGTGCTGACAGTCTAGCCTGAGCAGAGGGGAACCAGGGCCTGAGCATGGCTGGCCCAGGGCCCATCACATGGAGTCAGATGGGCAGGTGGGACTGCTTCCACCCAGTGTCCCCCTGTGGCACCTGTGGAGGCTGGAGCCAGAGCTGCTAGGGCCTGTGTGGCTCACCCAGGGCTTGCTGTGCAGTGTTGAGCAGGTGGATGGGAGCTGCTTCCACCCAGTCTCCCCTGTAGCTGCAGCCTGCGCCACCTGCCCATGGTCTGGACAGAATCAATAGGTGGGCCGAATATGGCTCCCAGGCTCCATTTGCCCATCCCTGTGTCCTACCATTACAAATGCCTGTGTGTTTCTAGATTTATGGGGATTCTCAGAAACAACATCAGTATAACATTTTGCTGTTTTAAAATGGCTATGTTGTGACCTCATTATGTGAGAGGCAAGGATTTCTTAGGGTGGTCATTTTTTATTGGATCAATTTTTTAGTCGGATTAAAGTTAGACAAGCTTTTGAAAGCAACATGTTCTTCCTCAGGTCTCAGCCTATGCTTTTGAAAGCTTGTCTAACTTTTATCCCAACGACATAGTTAGTTCAATAAGAGATATCACTCTAAGAAATCCTTGCCTCTCTCATGATTTTTGGACCATCATGGCTTCAATGTCACTTTTACTCTACCATGATTTAATTATACAATTTTCCAATAATTCGAGTCATTAAATACTGACATGCAAAATGTATTGTGCAGTAGCTGTAAAATTTTTAATTCTATTTTATTGTGACCTCATTACTATTTAATTTTTGCTTCAATTTATATTTCAGAAATCATATTCCATGTTTAGGAGATGCTGTCTTTGTGCACCTTGTTTATATTTGTCTTGCAGAAATGGCCTATGCGATCCAGATTATACATTGGAGCTACAGGACAGTTCTTGAATCACTCATTGCAAGGAGAAAATACAAACCAAGGAGAAACATCAACAAATTCACAAATTTAATCTTTTTCTTTTTTTAAATATTTATTACACCAGATATACCATATTTAAGTTAAAGCACATCTTCAGGTAAACTACACTTTCCAACATTCTGTTTATGGGTGAGAGGGGATTGATTCTTAAATGTATCCTACACCTCATCAAGTAAATGTGAAACTTTTTTTTGTCCTTAATAGTGAAGACTGGTGTTTGAAATAGGAGGTAACACTGATATGTACAATTGCACTCACCACCTACCTAAAGCAGTGGGCCAAGGTGATACTGCTAATAGCCAATGAAGAGGAAGCACTCTCATCTGCTGAGCACAGACAACTCACAGAAAGTTTTATGTAAGAAAAAATACAGTATTGACTGTATCATAGTGCAATACAAGCTTTAGTTGGAAAATGAAAGGCAAGCACATTTTAATATTTACAAAGAAGAAAAAATCCAAATAATGCATACACTTTTTTGACTGGGTGAAACCCTGGCCTAACTGAAGTCAATACCAAAGCTTTCATTAGGTGCAGACAGAAGTGACAATTTTTGCTTGATCTGGCCCCTGAAAGGGCTCTATAGTCATGACCAACACAAGTGCCTGGCTGCAGAGTGTTTTAAAAGGAACTGATCCTGTGAAAATCTGGATCCCTCATTGCATGAGGGTTCAATGAAAATTCTTCAAAATGGAGTGTCTTCAGTAACTTGTGTCTGTGCACACTGGGAGCAGGGCTGAGCTGAACACAGTTCAGCCTTGCTCCTGGCACTGTCTTCAGAATGGGAGGAGGTGGGGAAGTGGAGGGAGTTCAGACAGGGTTTTTTTTTTTCAGCTGGCACTGGAGAATGGGGTGGGTGGATTGGAGCCTCTCCACCGCCCCTCCCTCCAAAGCCTGCTGGGGAATCCCCAGAATGAGATCCCTCTGCTCCCTTTCCCCTACTCTCACTCTGAAAGCAGCACTGGGGCTGGGAGTGAGAAGGGGTGTTGCTGGGGGAGAGCAGCTGCACACTCACAGTTGCTCTAAACAGCAGCTCAATTCTCCAACCCCTGGGACCCAACAGT